CACACACACACACACACACACACACACACACACACACACACACACACACACACACTGTTATTAGCCTGGTGTCAGCAGCACTAAATGGGCTGCAGATGTTAATGCACTGTTTTAGATACAGTGGCAGGAAAAAGAGGCAGAGACGGAGCCATTCAGACTCGGAATAACTAAATATGGACAGAGAAACACATTCATTAGTGCAGAACACACGCTGGATAATCATTCAGAGGTGATGCATTATAAACACTGATGTTTAAACACGCTGGGCATGTTTAAAAATCCTTAAAACAGACAATGTGTAGCCTTTACTTCTGTGTCACAGTTTATCAGCGAACATCTGTGTGTTTAAAACATTCGGAGTAAGAGAGTTTTTGTTTAAGGCAGCGGGACATTTGAAGTGTTGACCTTTATTTATATTAAATCTAACATAGTGTTAGAGTTTTCTATGCTGCTGCCTCCATTGAAAGTGTCTCAGAAGTGTCCTATGCCTAAATGAACCTGTATATTCATGTTTGTCCAGGACGTCACACTGAAAGAAGTGTCAAATTTTGTCCACAAGGCAAAAAAATCAACTATATACAGTATCTGAGAGCATGTTTGATTATTTTTATATAAATACCGAGGTGGTCCGGTCGAGAGTCCCGGGCTGATTTTTCAGTCCCAGTCCGCCACTTTTTGAAGGTATGTGAAAAATCTCCTTTCTTATGGTACTCATTTGGTTTTATTGTGTACATATTTAATTGTATTAGCCTCTTTATTTAATATGATCATTCTGCCTGTTCTCTTTGCTGCTGTAAAAATACTGACCAGCCTGCTGTGAGACAAATAAAGGATTAATGACTTCTGATTCCCTCACGTCACTGATATTAAAGCGTCATTTGCCCCCTGAAACTGGTGGAGGCCTCTGGGGGCAGTCGGGCGGATCAAACGCACCCCCGAGTACTGGAGCAGATGTCCTCACTGGGCCGGGTTCAGATGGTCCCAGCGAGCAGCGAGGGAAAGGTCAGAGTCACACAGAGGGTTAAACTGGACCCATCAGGACACTGGCTCATCGGCGGGGATTATTTCAATTAAAGCTCCCGCTGGCTGAAAGCGGGATTACATCGGGTTTAGAGAGGAGGACACATCTGAACACAGCACATGGTCCGCTCCCAGGGCTGGAATATGCCAGACAGAGAGGCGTGTTCATGTTAATCATTTGATTATATATTATTTTACATTTATTTTAACCTAATACGTTGATATAAATATTATTATTTAGTTTTGATTTAATCTTTTATTGGACACTTTACATTAACTTATTTACTTTTTTTTAACTTTTATATCATATTATACATTAACTTCATAACTTTATATACATATATTTCATTTTCCTTTCATTTCATATTTCAACTTTCACTTCTAATGTTTATTAAAATATTTGTATTATGATTTGTATTATAATCTACATTTCCTTTATATGCGAATCTTTATTTTATTATTAATTTAACTTCCTATGGTTATATCATTGTTAACATCCTTCTAATGTTTATATCATTTTTGTATTTTTTTAATCTTTTTTTAACTGCCTATGGTTATTTCAATATTTTATTTTATTTCATTCTAGACTGAGAAATCAAATTGTTTCACTTTTTCGTCCAATAAGCTGTACGTTAACGTGCATACTGCGGTCCATTTGTTCTTGGCTTAATAAATTATGATTGGAAATAATTATTGTACGTTTGTTATAATCCTCCTGTTCCACTCTATTTTGCGTTGACACTATTAACCGCCAATAAGGCACACTTTTTTATCAAATGGAAATTCAAAAATAGCGATCAAAAGAACATGACACGACTCCTATCAAAGCTATAACTTGCCAGCATGTAACATCTAAAAATGTGTAAAATGAGGGAGAGGGGGGGGTCCGCCCAGGGGGATAATTACCTCTCCATCTCTTCTTCTTTGCTATTCATAGATGCGCTGCTGCTATTATTGGCAGAGATGAAAAAATGGAAGGTAAAAGCTGCTAACACATATTGAGTGAGGAGGAGCATCATGAAAGGTAAAAGCAGCCAATGAGAGACGATTAGCCTCTGCCCCCTGCGCTGTATGCATGGCATGACTCGGGCATGAATAGCATTAGCATCTTTAGCATTCACGGCGTCTGGCATTTCACCTGCGGACGCTCCGACTGATTGAGATGTGTCTCAGGAGCCGGAGAGGACTCACCTAATTGGCCCCGGAGCCAGGCCCTAATTCCTGATTCTCAGGGAGGGCCACATTTCAAAGCAGCGCCCGGATCAATTAATGGACCGGTAATGTGTCTCATTTTCATACAAGGCGAGAGGCTTAGGTTGGGAAAATCAGATATCGGCCACCTTTCGACTCAGCGAGGCGAGAACCACTCGGAGTTATGTGAAGGAGAATTCGATATGATGCTCGCACTGTGAATATTTTCATATTTCTCCTTTGCACTCAATGTTTGAGATCTCTTTTATCTGTAGGGGGTTTAAACGTGGCTCCATGTTGGAACTCTAAAAGTAAAAGGTTTCAACAAGCCTGATATCTTCTTCATTGTTGTCCAAAAAGTTTTAAAAACTCATCAATGAGGGACACTGCTGCACTGACGGCCCGTCCACACGGCGGCCTGCGTTCACTTTGAATGGGGTGACGTCACGCTTTGCCGAACTGCATTGTGGTTCCGTCGCTTCGCTTAACTCGCTTTGCCAGCTTCAAAAGTTGAGAAAAGTTCAACTTTTGAAGCTTCAACGGAAGCGTCAGCCAATCAAATCATATGCCAGTACAAGCTCTAGCCAATCAAACCGCGTGCTTGTGTGTCCGGGGCGAAAGATTAATGAGATTGGTTGTTGGTCGAGTTTCAGACACGCCCACCGGCAAGCTTCAACGCACGCTGCCGTGTAGACGCTGCGTGACTGTTCCTTCATGAACACACACACTGTAGGTCTCATTAACACCGTCCTGCTGCAACACATACTCACTAAATCAACAAATGGGATTAATCTGCCGCTGAAAATAGTCCCCAAGAAATACAGTATATCTTCCAGTTTAGGTAATGTTTACTAAAAATGACTGCCAATAATTTAGGAACAACAACCACAATCTTTCTGATTAAAGGGGCCCTACACTGCTTTTTAAGGTTTTCACTTTCCTGTGTGTTGTATAGGTTTGTGTGCATGTAAATGGTCTGCAAAGGCTAAAATCCCTGTGTTTCTCTCCCACACGCTACATGTATTCAGGTAAATTACAAATACTCAGGTAAAGTACTTTGAGTAGATGTAGAATGTAAAATGACTTTCTACGTAGCTTTTAATATTATTAAATTATTAAGTAAAAATGAATGATTCATACCGTAAAAGACATTTTGCATGATGTTTTTTCCCAAATTTATTGCAGATTTTATTGAAGCTAGTTCTGTTTCTCGATGCTCCCGCACGCTGCATCCTGACACGGTTGATTTGTAGTGAAATCCCTGCGCTTCAGATCCAGAGGTGTAACAGCTCGCGGCGCTTCTCTGCGCTGACAGCCGTAACCAGGCAGCACTTTAAGGTAGAGCAAGGTACACCCTGCTGTTTTCTCAACGGCAGACTGTTTGAAATATGAATGAGCAGCCAGTCTATACATCATGTTAGCTGACATGTTGTATTAAAATTTATGAACGACTTCATCAAAAAGCACTTTCTGCCAGACAGATTTGCCCTGACATCAGAGTTA